TCATTTTGTGTTAGAAACTTTATCTCTGTAGGTCTATTTTGGTTGAACTCAGCCCTGAATGTAAGATTATTGCTTAATGCTTATACTAGTAAGATCCACGTCAATACAGTAAAGATACAGTTAAACTGCGAAGGCACAACACCAAATCAACCCTACTCTATCTCCCAAAAACAACATTCTCCTGGTCGGCCATGTCCCTCATCCTGCACTTGACCCCCGCAGAGGTCACAAGCCCATCGGAGCACAAATGAGCGAGAAACGGGGAAGCCTTAGCTACCGGGCCAAGGACTGCATCACTAGCAGCGAAATACGGATATACCCTCCCTTTTACATGCGTTCAACCGGCACCCGAACCACACGCTGTTTCTTAGACATAACTTCCCACTTACATCAGTGTCTTCTCGCATCAAATGGCATCGGCAAGTGGCGACACTGTGTAGACTCAACCCTGAGCTTGATCAGAATCTTCAGTCACAAACCTGACACCGTTTCGGGGCTTTCATTGCGATACGGTTTTCTGTCAGGTGCCCCAGCAGTCTCTCTTGGACCACCATCTGATCTGACAATCACCCGATACCATATACATGGTATATATTATTGTAATTGTTATTCTTTATGTTTTACACTTTTTTAGACAAAAACTTTTAAACTTGATTTAGAAATAGAGCGAGATTTAATTATACTGAATGATGTTGTTACCTGACATGAACGATGGATCCTACTTCAAAATCACCACTCAAAGGTTCTAGCACACCACCGGATTTCAAGTCCCTCTCCTCCCAATTTATCAATATGACTTTGCTAGCTTTAGGGAGGCAAATATTATGAGCAATGTGTTCAGTGTTTCACTCCTCTTTTACTCTAAAATAACATTCGTAATATAATAAGGTAGCACGCTTGCTGAAGCACGTGCAATCATTTGAGGTAGCTAAGCAACGGTGCAGTAAAACTTACCTGAAGTTGTGCTTTTATTCTAACACATATTTTCCCTCACTTCTGACGTAATAACAGAACAAATTATAATGCCTAAATCAAAATTCTAATTCTAATTCTATGCATATCCTTTTTCTATAACCCTGCTAAGAATCGCAAGCTTTCAACTCCATTTGCGAGCTGAAATTGTTTTCAACAAGGTCAATTTTTGGTCAATTTGTTCTGCTCTATGCTATTGCCGAGGAAATTTCGTCAAGTTTATAGTATAGATGATATATTAACGATCCCCAAGTGATTATCATTGGGGTTAGTGTAGAATTGTTTTCAGGACTTCCGGCTGCTGCAGAGCTGTTGAGTGGTTTTAGGATAAGTTTCAGTGTAAAATAAATACTTGCATGTTAATACTAACTAACCGGTTTGTTTAAAAAACTCAGCCTTGGCGATCTCCAGAGTTTTGTATCCATCTATATCTTCGCTCCCGCAGGTTGAAAATAGATACTTATCAGGATGCGTGGTCCATACACCAGTATCTGCGTGAAATCATTGAAGTAAGTTTTAAGTTACATTTATTGATTCTTAAAGCTTTCTTTCTTCGTTTTTAACTTTAAAGACTTATGTCCCTCCTAGATTGTGAAAATGATAAGGTCAGGCTCTTAACAATAGTTACTCATGAAATTCTAAACTGGAAAAGCTGTAAAGTAGCCTCTAAAATGCTAATGCAGGTACAGGTTTTGATAAATAGGTATATTTACAAAATAAGTTCAATGATAGTGGTTTGAAACCTACTTTCAAGGCAAAATAAGCTTGTTTCTTTGTTCCTCATGTTAATAAAGCCGTTCAACTGGCCATTTTGCGGTACCACCACGTGTATCTCCTGGTTTTCTATTTTCACCTTTAACTGAAAATTCTATATTTAGAATAACTTGCTTCATTTCAGGTTCGAGTTAAGATATTAAATTATATACATACTGATAACGTGCAACATAATAATTTATAACGTCCAACGTAATCTATAAATAAATGAAAAGGAAGCTTAGAAAGTTCTCTTGAATAATAAAGGGAGGGTGACACGTCCGTCTATATGCCCGCTTGTCTCATAGAATCCAGAAGAGACAGGACAGGACAGGACATAGGTGGGGGGGGGGGCCATACTTCGAATTTTCGAAGTCCGCACCTACACTAAACCCTTCGATATACGATTTTGGACTCGAGGGTTCCCCCTTTGTGATGTGATCTGGGAAGCCAGGCCTCCCCTTCGCAATACGAGCTCGGAAGCTCGGAAAAGTTTTTCTGGAAACTACTTTTGTTCATGTTTCATGCTACCCTGATCATTATGAGCCGAAAATATTGTGTCAAAATCATGTGCGAAATATTCTCATAATGTTTGTCCGTCAATGTCCGCTAATGTCCCAAAAAACACTTCCATTGTCTCATAGAATCAAAAGAGGACAGGACATAGGCGAACATGTCACCCACCCCCCCCCCCCCCCCCCCCCCCTGTTAAATTTCGACAGCACGCTGCGGTTAATATGTCGCTAACTCTACAGTTTACATTTAGATTCCACCCAAATCCAATAGAATAACAGGAAAAAGATTAAGATATCACCACAAACCTTCATAAGAGACCAACCATCATTACCACTAGTTCTCCAAGATACACATTTGTAGTCCCCGATCTTAACATCGCTCTCAATCGAGCACACGACGTCCTGACCGTACACATCAAAGTCAGCGGAACACCTTTTCTCCTCTGTTACTCCGAGAGTTCCTGCGATATTCACAAACTGCGCGTCTACAGTTCCATCGTACTCACTGTAATCTCTTATTGTGGCAGTCATCTGGTACACGACTGGGAAATTATTTTATTGACGGATATAAATTCCTGACTCTAGTGAGGCACCATGTGCATGGTAAATCTAGATTATGGGACGGGCTTTTAGCTAATAAATTAAACAAACAATTCGGACGGAAAACTAACTATTACCTCCTCTGACTTACCAGAAAATGCTGAAGGTATAGACAGTTGGAACACCAATAGGAAGGTTAACATTGCTATAAAGAAGAATAAAACTGTCAAATTCTGTAGCAAATATCAAATAAGAACTTTGTTTCAATTTTTGTTTATTAGCTAGGTGCTAATGCCAAGAAATTTTAAAGAGACACTGAAACGTTTCCTTATCCTATGAAGTTGATGATGAACATAATATTGTAATTTCTTATGTTGTCACGTCATGTCATCAAGACTACTTTGTGACAGATGACTGATGAGCACCAGATAAATGGCGATCACTTCAATAAATCTAACCCTTGACGATAAACGCCGGTATGAAAGCTGCTGAAGATTATTACCAACTCGGAGGCGCAGGCGTCCAGGGTGGCGTTCATTCCTGCTTACAGCAATTAATGTAAGTCATAATTCAACAATGTTAGGGAGCAACAGAGGGCACCCCAGAGCTGAGCCCATCTACCTTCTGAATAATCTGATCTAGATAAAAGTTGAGGAGCAAATTTGTATCTGTGAGTACTGAGTATAGAATTCCTAAATGTCAGAATGAGTCATAATGGGCGCGTGACACCATTCACGTTGTTAATCGTCGAATTATTCAAATACTACTAACGTTTGATCTTTGCCCTAGACCATTTGATAGGACATTTGTCATTATGAAAATTGTATGCTGAATAATATGATCTGAGATTGTAAGGCTCCAATCCTCTGCCTTGAGGCTCCGGTCCCTCGCTCACTCAACGATCGTATCACAGTTCTAGTCACCGTAGTCCCCTTAGTCTGTTCAAATGCTAGTGACAGAGAGATGATCACATGATACCCATAATTTTTGACTCGTTGAATTATTCGAATACTAAAGTTAAGCCTAACCCATCGGATAAGCCAGGGCAAGTTAGTCGTGAGGCTCCGATCTGTCGCCCACTAAATGATTGTACCCTAGGGACTGAGAGTGATATAATTAGAATTGCCTCAATGAACGTATACATATTTAATTGAGACCAAATACCGGAAGTGGGGCTGTTAGAACTTTACTAAACGTTGCAAGTTTGATAATTTACTATTTACGCCGAGTCAATAGATGTGATTATGGTGGGAAGGTGAGGCATATGTTTTTGACACGTTACAGTGATTCTGGGGCTTGATTGGTCAAAAGTGGATGCTGATTGATCGTGAAACGCCTACCAATATATAATGCATCTTGGAATTTCTCTGGAATATTATAATATGTGAGAAATAATAATCCTTTTGAGGATCATAAAGTCGTATTTCAATACAATTTATTTAAAGTGCTCCTCAAAATCTATACTTGTCACGTTGTTCATCAAAAGGCAGACGAGGTTTTACAGTTTAGTACAACCTTCAGAAAGTCATGTTTGAACTGTAACCAGTCAAACCTATTCTCTGTAAACGTTTGAAAATAAAGAGGGATCTTAAATGCGATATTTTCAATTTGTCGATCTAACATGTGCAGTGGAGTATTGATATAGATAATAACTTAATTATGATAATATGGGCATACCCTCAATGGCGCCACCGGCCACGCCTTATCTTTAATCCATAATCTTGTGAATTTGTGATAATTCAAATTACGTTATCAGGGTCCCTGATCTTAGTTAAACGCCTGTCGTCTTTATTAACCAAATCATAATCTACAAAGTTGAATATGAGCAATTTTTAAATATTCTATTGAGAGCGGTGGCCGGTAATTATTGGTAGTTGATTCAGGTTGATTAAAGCAACCATATATTCTAAATATTCTCAATTAGCACAAAAGGCCTATTAACAACCAGTCTCGGTAGCCTTGTTAGGGTTAAGTTCTCGTATCTTGTTAATCATGTTTCCGTGGATCTCAGCCAATTCGCCTCGTTAAGCCAGAATTATTGGTACCAATAACTGATCAGCCTCTGACAAGGCTTTAGATTCCTACCACGGGGGTGTGATTGTAGCTTATGTTAAATGTAACGTAATTGAGAGGATATGAAATGTTGAAAAAGTATTGAATGATTAATCAGTATTTCTTGTTGGCTGTATTTGTGAACTATAAAGATACCAACCCCTCCAGAAAACATGGAGAAGTGTCTAAAAGTTCTAGCCCTGCTGAACGAAGTGAATTCTAACAAGGAGATCGTGCCGTACAACGCGTTCTACATCCACGAACTGACGGACCAACTCGATCTGGAGGAGGACTATAGGAACTGGATAGAACATCGCGAGGTAGCGTATAATGTATGTGATATTCTGGCTGTCTTTGTTATGTCACATAAGTTTAATGTTGTGTTTAAAATGCTTCATTAGGATTTTTATTCTTCGTTAATTGTGACAAGCACTCAAGCATCAATTTTCAGCCAGACTCTACAGTTTGTAAGCCTGCCTTTTTGGTCCATTAAGAATTTTCAGAACAGATTAAGCTGCTTAATATATGACCATGAAATTATTGATAGAATTTTTCGGAAGATATTTTACAGTAGCATTCTGGGGCTATACTATAAAACCAATCATTTTAATCTCCAATTCAAAAATCATAACAATCACAAAACATTCATGGAGAATAAACTGCTATTTCTCTAAACTCCAAACAATTAGTGGTATTCAGAACAAACTCTACTCCGATGCCGGTGTTGCCAGTGCAGTCCAGGTAGTAAGTCTGAGCTTGAAACGTGTCTCCCTCCCGCACTGCTACTGTGTCTATCCTACATGGCAACCTGTTCAGATTGTCTACCATAACATACACCCTCATTCCGTTCAGTCTGTTCTTGTGCACGTTTATTTTACCATTCACCACCTTTATCTGCCCTACAGCACGTCTCTGAGAGAAGTGGTACCTGAACCACTGTCCAGGTAGGGTGCAGGTTGTGTGAGATTGAGTTGCGAGGTGTCCGTCAACTGCTTTTTCAGGACCCGCTGGGAGACCGGGAAATGTTGAGCTTTGTTCTACTTTAACAGCTGGTATCAATTCACCACTTTTCTTCGCTGTTTCCATGGCTTCCAATACCCCTAATACTGTTTCCTCTAGCTTTAAAATCTTTTCTGCAACACTTTGTTCGACCTTTTCCAACGCTTGTTCTAATCTATCCATCCTAGTCGTAACAGATTGAAGAAAAATCCTGATTTCTTGAACGTACAAGTTAGTAGAATTCACCTGACTCCTCATTAGAGACAGAGTTTTATCTAGCTTGTTCCAATTTTTACCCTCCAGTGTCTCACCTCCTGGATCTTCATTTCCGCAAACCAGTTCAGAATATGGAACAAGTAAAAGCAGGAACGCTAAAAACATCTTTAAGAAGCAAAACGTCCAATAGTGTCAAGTTTAATTTGAAATTTGGCCGCAGATTTTGAAATAAACGCACATTTTATTTAAATAATCTACCGCCAGGTGATAAATCTAATATACTTTATTGAATCTTTCCTAAACGTTCACAATGGAACGGTCCGTCACAATGTCACGTGATGGATAGTAAGTAGAAGTATGGTCAAGTAAGATTTGATATGCTGTGATTGATTTAGTAGTAAAATTCGTCTGAATTAGAATATACCGTCTAGTGAATACAATTAGCAACCTGCGTCCTGGAATCGATGTTATATAGAATATGTTCTATGTTAAATTCTTCGTCAGATTTCTTAGATTTATATGAAAATTAAAGATTGTCCAGCGTTGTAACATTAACCACAATAAGGTTATAATGAAGCGGACTCCCTCTAAAGAAGAGTATTGTAAATGACATGAATTTAATCTGACTAACTTGTTAACATGGTTCCCGATAATTTGTCTCATTGAGAAAAATTCTGCTTATCACTAGAAAATGTTCTTTTCTTTCATATCTGGTTATCAATATCTGGCCTAAAAAGTGGTACAAAAGCAAAAGCTAAAGATGATGTTAGCTTATTGACAAGAGTTGTGTTTCAGGTGGTATTTTGTAAATACCCGTTTGTGTACACGGCTGAAGCCAAAGCGAAACTACTGAAGATAGATGCTAATCAGCAGATGATGAAAACTGTGCAGAGTATCGCTGTTAACCAGTTCCTAAATAGGGGCCAGATTAGTATCAACCCTTTCTTAGAGGTTGGTCCTAGCGAAAACATGTTCGGTACCGTTTAATTTTAACATTTTTTATGAATTGAATAATTCTAATGCCTGCCGCTCCATTTTCTGCAATACTGTTGTGGGTATACTTTTGTCAATACGTTGTCTGATAAATTGATTATTTTCAGTTGAAAGTGCGAAGAGACCACTTAATATTGGACACATTGCGGCAGATCCAAGAATACGAGAGCAGACCTTATCTCCTTAAGAAGCCCTTGAAAGTTATATTTGAGGGAGAGGAGGGTTACGATGCAGGTGGGGTGAAGAAGGAGCTCTTTCTCCTCCTGATGAAGGAGTTGTTGTCACCCGATTACGGCATGTTCTCTGTTGACCCCGAGGTTAGTACTCCAATATCTCTTGTTCCAAACTTCCTAATACAAAAAGACAAAAGTGAACGTTCAGTACTATCTAGTTGTCTGATAACGCCCGCTACACACGGATAAAGAGTAAAGCAGTGATTGGAATGATTGGAATCTTACTATACATAAAGCGAGACGATATATATGACTGTACATACGACTGTGCTATCTGTGCTATATTCTTTTACGTGGCTATCTACTTTTACCACCTTGTTTGGTTATTTGTTACATTGGGGTAGTTTTGAATATTAAACCTTCTATTCCTATATTGGTCAGACACGGCATCTGCCGTTTGATCCAATTTTGTTTAATTCCTGTTTAATTCCTGTTTAATTCCTGTTTAATTCCTGTTTAATTCCTGTTATATCCGTGCCATTTTACTGACACCATGGCATCAACTTTAACGCGACTTTCTGCAAAAACCGTAAAAGATATACAACTGAAACTTTTTTGACTGGGTCAAATGCTTTAATGGCCTTCAAATCAGCATGAAAAAATAAAAAATTCGCCCAGGAATAAGAACTTTAGTGCCCAAAATTTTGACCCCCAAGTGGTGTCAAAAACGCGAATTAAATAAGTAATAATTATTTTAGCCTTTTGAGTCTTGACACCACTTTAAGGTTGTACGGGTTTCTGCTGGTAAGTATACTGTATAACGCACAGGGTTTATATCTACTAGCAAGAACCCGTCTAACCCTATAAGTAACAAAATAGTCATTTAGTCACTGTTAGGAAATAGCGCAAGTAAAGGAGCGCACAAGAGATTCTTTGTGAGTTTTAATCGTTTCCTATATAGCTGCATTATTCTATTCACTACATTCGGCCCATTATGTGATCAGGACTGGGCTGTCGACAATTTTGATCGCCTCTTCCAGAGATCCTCCAGTAAGCGTCCCTCCTATACCCCGCGAGCTATTACATATTACGATTTCTCGTGGAAGAGGCTGACATTTGCCGAGTGCAATAATGAAGAACGATTAGGCCCGCCTGGACAAAGGGACACACAGTTTTACTGGGCGGCGCTCAGAATCTATATTCTAACATAATAGCCTGGGGTCCCCAGGTAAAGTGCTGTTAGGAAATGGTGAACTGAGATGTTTTACACAGATTCACAGAATATGGTTTTTAATTTTGCGAAGACGGTAAATTCTCTATATATATATCATGTATATGGATATATATATCATGTTTATGGATTATGGATCCGTGCTATTTTACTGCCACCACGGCATCAACTTTAACGCGACTTTCCGCAAAAACCGTAAAAGATATACAACGGGGGGGGGGGGGGGGTGTAACCCAAAAAAACCCAACTCTTACCCAAGAAAAGGTAATACTGGGATTGGGTTTTTTTGAGTTTTTTTGGGTTTTTTAAACAAAATTTAAACAAAATTCTAGCCATTTCATTAATTGTATTGAATGAGAATTATTTCCCACTGAGTCTTACCTACGTGTTGTTCTCATGTCTTAACTTCTTAGTTGTAGTGAACGCTGAACTTAGTCGTACTGAACGTACGTTCCAATCATTTTGTAGTGAACGTTTGTGAACGTTAGTGAACGTTAGTCTTGATATTTTGATAATTTTTCCGATAGTTTTTAACTTGAGATGGATACAATGAGATAAAACCATGTTGTCGGAATTAGACAGTAAATAAACAACAATAATGAATAAAAATAAGTCACTAGTATAGCAAATAGTAATGAAATTATTGCTCCTTAATTCGTGAATTGTTCATAAGACGCAAACTTGCGTTAACATAAATAAGGTCTCGCTGCTTGTCAACTGTGAGGCGGTTTCTTTTTTTGTTTATCACCCAGTCGTACAAGCTCCAATTCGTCTCACAGGGTGAGGCTGATGTCGATTGCGACAGCGCTTTCATTGCAAAACTCTGTAGTTCGGGTACCTCGCAACCGAAGTTGCTCCACCAAGAGACTGCATCGTCAGAATATTGGCTAAGACTTGAGGCAGCGTCAGTAGAGAATAAGCCTCTTTTATCTCGGTAGAACGTGTACTGCGAAAGTATCTTCTTCTTTGTTGCGCCGTCACACCACGTGTCCATGACATCTAGAAACTCCTTCCAGACATCCTGATTCGTGTGCTGATCATATCCCCGATAAGCCGGGTGAACACAAAATCCTACTGAATGTAGGGGGGAATGGAGCTCGAGCCACCTTTTGTTGGCAAGACTAACCATATCACTTTTATGGTTTCTATTGCGGAAAGCAAAATTTGCTAACTTCAAGGTGAACAGATAATATTTGTAATAAATTACACCGATGAAACCAACAGGAATCTTAAGACTATTGTCTGAAAATCTAAGCAAGACTATTATCGGCTCGAGAATTGAGCATAAATAGTCGACTTCTATCCAGAAATGGGGGTCAAACACTAAATCTTTAGCGCACTCAAACAAATTCTTGTATGCATTACTTTTTGCTAACAGACTCAGTAAGGGTTGGATCAATATAAGTCTTAATCAAAGTATCCTTGGAACCCTTCAGTCTCTCTAACATAATAATATTTGTAACATACCTCAAGGCCCTGAAGGCCTGGCAATGGAAACGCTAGTACTTTGCCGGATAATTGGGCTATGTCCGGCATTTTAATTTCATAACAGCAATTAAGTTTAACGTTCCTTATGTTCCGAACGTTAAAATCTTTTAGCGAACGCGTTCACAAACTATTTTTAGTGAACGTTCCGTACGATCACTACAACTAAGCTTAACTTAATAGATAGTTTACATAGTATATAAGTGTGTTTATATTGATAGTATGTTATCACGATAGCAAACAGGATGTCTCGTTCATCGAGATATAATCCATATGAATGAACAAAGTGGAAATGTGCCAAATGTGGCAAATGTGTTCTCCTGTCATGGAAGGAGGCTATGACGAAGGTCAAGGGCAAGTCAAAGCACATGACTTAAATTACTTCACTTAAGGCGGCTTCAGAGTCCGAGTCTCGATGATGTGTCTCCAAAGCTTTCTGTCCGCCATAAGCTCCTTAATCTCCCCAGTGTTCTTGAGTCCAGTGTCACTTATTAGGTTATCGACGAAGGTGAGCGGTGGTCTACCCCTCCCTAGGTTCCCAAAGGAGAAGTTGGTGTGCTGCCAGGTCATCATGTCGCTGGATGTGCCCAGCCAACCTCATTCTTCTAGCCTGTATCTTCGAAATAACTCTTGGGAGTGATCCAAAGACCTCCTTGTTGGTGCGATGTCCTCTCCAGTCCACGTTTAGGGCCATCTGAAGCATTCTACTGACTACTGTAACATCCGTCTATTCTTTTCTTCAAAGATTCTGTTATTGTCCACGTTTTCGTTCCATACAGGAAGATTGATTCAACCGTAGCTTGAACAGACGGATCTTTAAATCTCGGCGCAAATTGGACCTCCATATAGCCTACATTTTGTGGTAGGCAGCCCATGCCTTGGCCTTGCGTAACCTAAAGTCGTGCTCCGTTGTACTAAAATCCTCAACTTCTTCTAAGGCATGTCCGTCCTTAAAAATTATTGTGTGTGGCTCCTCTCCTACTAAATTAACTGTAAGATGCTTGGTTTTAGACAAAAGAGATTTCCTGCCTCCTCATCAGATGAGGCTTCTGTAGGACTGTAGCATGTGATGACAGTGAGCCTGGGCTTTCCATTAAGAGACATGGTGAAGCGCCAGCTGCATTTCTCCACGCAGATGAGATCACTGGATGAATCCTTTTGTTCATCTTTTCTATTCTGGTATTCTCAGCAATCAGCATGCACTACCCGATGTTCGATTCTTGCAGGGCAAGGATGTGCAGCTTGCTTCGAGAAAATAGTTCTTCAAGTTCGATGCGTTTGTGCTGTTCTCTGGCTGTTCTTATGTTAAATGTGCTAACCTTAGCAGTCCTTTTACATGATACAATACAATTGATGTTCATATTTTTTTGATGTTTTCTTGTTTGACTTTCTGTAGAAATAGTTTGTCGTGTTGTGGAGACCGAGTCATCAGCTTCTGTAATATCAGCGTAATTACCCCGGCAACCACTTCCTACTAGAAAAATAAGGGGCTTTAACCCTTAAGCTGTTGATAAACTTCATCTTGACTTTTCAGTTGGCTCACAATCCTGTGCAGTCCCCTGCACATTGGCATTTGATTGTGTTCTTAATTCTTGCGCCACTAAAAGGTTAAGGGCATCCGCTTGAACAATAGCCATCTTTAACTCTCACCATAATATCTTGGGTATCTTGAGCATGTAATTGCACGAACATATGCCATACAAGACAAATGTGACACTTCCTTTTTCTACCCAACAGCATCAGTTGTAATCCTTACCCAATCGTCACCTGCTCCAGTGTGGGACTTTCCGATTTTATCCCAAAGCATAAGGAGGTTAGATTGAAAACAGAGCTACACTTTAGCGGGGACTAACCCTTCCCCTGACTACCTCGTTACCCGGTACCCCGGGCATAGGGAGCCGTATCCTGACTACCAGAGTGTGGTCCAGTCTAGCTGGGTCATAGTAGACTAGGTTGAACAGGGTAACAGCCAACACCTCTTTAGCTACTGTGCAATACACAGTAAAGATTTACGAGTCTCAAAGCCTCTTGTAGACCAAGAGTTAAGGAGTCAACAGATCAAATTATTGAACTTCCGGGGCTCAATGTCTCCCGTCGACCGTCCTGCCTGTCCAGTATCCAGTCTTCACCACGCGGAGGTAGTGGCTTTCATCATGCTGTCCGATGAGTGTCTGGAAGAGGGCACCAGCAGGATACCCCTTTTCAAAGTTCTGGGAGCCTCACATCAGACCAGGGCTTCCACCCAGCTTCTATCCAGCGGTGACGCCTTGGGCCACCTAAGCTTCACACAACCATTGAAAGACCACCTGCCTACTTGTAAAAATTTTGATGATGCGATTATTACAGTCGAGGGTCTGATGCTGTACATTCTCAGTGTAACAGCTGACAACAGTTATCAACACTTTATGCCCTGGCTGTTTACATCTGATGCCTGCGAGCAAACTTTATGCTTTCCTGCGCATAGGCCTCCATGCAGGCATTAGAACTAATCTGTGTTCTAAGGATATGTTGGTTGGCATGGGCAAATCAAACCGTTCCCTCGAGCTTGATGCACTCGGCAAAAATTTGATTCCTGTAACAGTTGCCCACTCTCGCAACAAGCTTGTTATACCGCATCCGAAAGCAGAGAAACTATTTAGAGGTAAAGATACTTCAATTCCAAGATTGTTACAAGCTATGAAGAAGGGAGTCTCAAGGGGTAGAGAACTCCTTCAAGAACACTGTAGCTTTGAAGGAGAGGCTTTCCAACCATCTTCTGACGGAGCAGAGAGTGACGAAGCGGAAACAGATGATGAAGAAGAGGAAGTGGAGGATATTGACTCATCAGAGGAATGGGCGAAAATAGTAACTGTGTATGGTGATGCTCTGCATCATGATACGGCTGTTGAGGTTTGCCTCAATGGAGGGCGAGATCAAATGCCATCCCAGTCAAGATTTTAGCGACTCCAGGGCCATAAACAAGCGAAGATATCACTTAATATCACATGTGATCATGCAGCTGATGGTAACTGCAAGATTCTTTCAGTTGGAGATAGAGCATGGATTCTCGTTAAGCGGATGATCAGGAAAACGGAAACAGAGATCGTGAAGGTGAGAAGAAAGGCTTTATTCCTCTCATACCGGTTGCGGTCAGGGTTGGGGTCATCAGTGAGTTGCGTCCCTACTAACTCAATTTACCATGGCCATCGAAGTGAGCATTACATATGACTGATATCATATCTGGATGGCCAACTTCTTCTGAGCACATCAGTGAATAAAATACTGCTTTTGGGTGATATTTAAGCGATTATATCTATTGTGATGTTGTAGTGATGAACCACAACAGTGATGTTGTACTGATAATTGTTTTGCTAGGTGCCTACATGATTTTATTTCCTTCAAATGAAAAATTTGTAAAAAACCCAAAAAAACCCAACTCCTACCCTGAAAAAGGTCATACTGGGATTGGGTTTTTTGGGTTTTTTTTGGGTTACACCCCCCCCCCCCCCCCCCCCCCACAACGGAAACTTTTGTGACTGGGTCAAATGCTTTAATGCTTTAAAAATCAGCATGAAAAAATAAACAATCGGCCAAGGAATAAGAATTTTAGTGCCCAAAATTTGGATTCCCAAGTGGTTTCAAAAACGCGAATTAAATAGGTAATAATTATTTAAGTCTCTCGAGTCTTGACACCACTTTAGGGTTAGACGGGTTCCTGCTAGTGATTAGAATGTTTAAGAAATCAAATATTTCGTCTAGAATGAACTAATACATTTTGTGCCTTCTGTGTTTTATTTGTTTGTAGCAGTGAGGTATTAATGCTTTTCATACAAAGTTACAACAAAGTCTTCATGTATCCTGGGTATTACCCGCTTAAAATATTTCCATCGCGTTGCATTTAATACTCAATAAATTTAATAAATTTGTAGTGTTGTAATTAGTTTAACAATTCTCAACACATTCAGGCCATAAAATGATGCTGGACTATTCATTGGCATTGTACCAATATCTTGAGCTTCAAATGAACATGTCCATCAATATTTCTATATGCAGGGTGTACCACAGAAAGTGTGACTTTTTTGAGAAATGATACAAAATATTATGGGAGCAGTTGCTAAAAACTATCTTACTATATATAAAGCGAGACGATATATATATCCGTGCCATTTTACTGACACCATGGCATCAACTTTAACGCGACTTTCTGCAAAAACCGTAAAAGATATACAACTGAAACTTTTTTGACTGGGTCAAATGCTTTAATGGCCTTCAAATCAGCATGAAAAAATAGAAAATTCGCCAAGGAATAAGAACTTAAGTGCCCAAAATTTTGACCCCCAAGTGGTGTCAAAAACGCGAATTAAATAGGTAATAATTATTTTAGCCTTTTGAGTCTTGACACCACTTTAAGGTTGTATGGGTTTCTGCTGGTAAGTATACTGTATAACGCACAGGGTTTATATCTACTAGCAAGAACCCGTCTAACCCTATAAGTAACGAAATAGTCAGTGCACTGTTAGGAAATAGCGCAAGTTAAGGAGCGCAAAAGAGATTCTTTGTGAGTTTTAATCGTTTCCTATATAACTGCATTATTCTATTCACTACATTCGGCCCATTATTTGATCAGGACTGAGCTGTCGACAATTTTGATCGCCTCTTCCAGAGATCCTCCAGTAACTCAGTAAGCGTCCCTCCTATACCCCGCGAGTTATTACATATTACGAGGCTGACATTTGCCGAGTGCAGTAATGAAGACCGATTAGGCCCGCCTGGACAAAGGGACACACAGTGCTGTTTTACTGGGCGGCGCTCAGAATCTCTATTCTCTATTCTAACATAATAATAGCCTGGGGTCCCCAGGTAAAGTGCTGTTAGGAAATGGTGAACTGAGATGTTTTACACAGATTCACAGAATATGGTTTTTAATTTTGCAAAGACGGTTAATTCTCTATATATATATCATGTATATGGATATATATATCATGTATAGTATATAATGGATTATGGATCCGTGCTATTTTACTGACACCACGGCATCAACTTTAACGTGACTTTCCGCAAAAACCGTAAAAGATATCAATGGAAACTTTTGTGACTGGGTCAAATGCTTTAATGCTTTAAAAATCAGCATGAAAAAATAAACAATTGGCCAAGGAATAAGAATTTTGATGCCCAAAATTTGGACTCCCAAGTGGTTTCAAAAACGCGAATTAAATGGGTAATAATTATTTAAGTCTCTCGAGTCTTGACACCACTTTAGGGTTAGACGGGTTCCTGCTAGTTTGTCGAATTTATGCATACCAAGTTTCAAGTCGCTCGCTATCACTTTTTGATTTATCACAAATTGCTATTCTGTTATGGTACTACCTCAGGAACTTAAGCTTGATGTAATTAAGAGGTCTCAGGAATTTTTTTTCGAAATCAACGTTTTAGTTGCTTTTTTTTTTTTTTTTTTTTTTTTTTTTTTTTTTTTTTTTTTTTTTTTTTTAAATGAGGAACCTGCCAAACCCCAGGACACCAGGAGGATACCACCGTTTTAGTTGCTTTTGATAGAAAAGATTAGTTTCTATCAGTTGCTTTTGGTCCTATCTAAAAATTTCGTTCAAAAAATTTCGTTGGTCAAAGGTCAGCGCTCATGAGTAATTGTATTGAGCGAGCGATTTTCTATCGTGCGTAGTGAAAATCGAGTCTAAAAATCTTTTTTCTCCAACTGTTTTTGATCAATCACCCTGAAAATTTTGTGGAAGGTCTTTAAAACGTTTTTATTAGATTTTGAACATCTTGGGCCTCAAATAAGTTATGTCAATTTCAGACTACAATATTTAATTTTTGGGAAGATTCTTTTGCTTAGATGCTTAACTATTTACCATATTTTTTATTATTTTTATCAATTCAACTATATTTCTGACAAAATTTAGTTAAAAATAACTGTGAAGTTTAATTTTGTCAAAAACTATTAAAGTGGAAGAAAGTCGCACTTTATGCGGTACACCCTGTATATCTTACATTTCTATATATCTAACATTCTAACCATCAAGAGTTTAAATTCCCAAATAGTCAGACTGAGCAGGTTGAGCTGTAGTAAAACACAGTACTGAGGTGTTAAAACATTTTCATTACTATCTTCAGTAACATCCTGAATCAGAAACTCGGTTAATATCAGTTCCTACAACCATTAGGCTTCTAACCATTAGGCAATGTATTCTGAGGCAATACTGACAGGCTCGAACCTATTAAATTGATTACAAGCCAGATCTCATGAGACTATTTAGTATTTATTGACCAATGCCCAATATAAGATATTTGATATATTCTTATGTATTTCAGTCGCGGTTCATTTGGTTCTCAGAGTTCAGCTTTGAACACAACAGCAATTACCATCTTATCGGAGTTCTGTGTGGTTTAGCCATTTACAACTCTACTATAGGTAACAAGGTCACTTATAATGATAAACATAATCGGTGATAATTAATTTTAAAGTTGTCTCCTGTGATTATTTTAGCTAATTTATAGCTTACGATTGACGATGACCGTTTCAGTTGACATCAATTTCCCGCCGGCGCTCTACAAGAAACTGCTCAAAAAGTCTGTGACTCTGAACGATTTTGCGAAGCTTCATCCTGTCCAAGCGAATACTCTCCGACAACTTCTAGCGTACAACGAGCCAGACTTCGAAGAAACCATGAGCTTGACTTTTTCAGTTATGAGGCGAGTTTTGTATCATCACGACGAATTTATCAAATCTCTATTGAGTATATATAATATGGTAGTTTAGCCGAAGTATGCACTGAGCAGTGTGCATGACTTACTGAGTAAAAGCAGTTATTACTATGTTCAAAAGACACGCACACGACATCTTCCAATACTGTAATACTTTAGGATATGCAGATTGCAGAGAACATATTTGCATGATTTAGGAGCCTTGGTTTATTTTAAGTTATCTTTTGTGAGAAAGGTGGTAATTAACTGACATAGTCTTCTCATAATTTAAACTTTTCAACAACCTCACACAGGTGTAAAACATACCTCCTGTATTCGTTATCTGCTGCATGACTGAATCAGTTTGTGTCCAATAAGCGTTATCAAAAATGTAGCTGGCGGGCGGCCTTACCTGAATCAGCAGCAGATTATTCATTGCATGATTTATTAAACTTAAAGCTTTATTTTAAAATCGCATTTGTGTTGACGGCACGCGCGTACGCCGAATCATATTTTAATTATAAAATTTGAAATTTAGTATTACATGTGCGCGCGCGTCTGTTATTAAATTGAGGTAATTTCTCGAAGAAGTTCAATCTTTTCGAGAAATTACTAGTACAAACTGTAGTAGAAACCCCACAGTAAGTTGTCCAAGTCGGACGTTCTTAGTAAATAGTAGGTGCTGTCATCGTGTTGATTTCACCACTGGTCAACTATCTTACACGATCCTACTATTTCAGGGATTTCTTTGGAGAAGTCGAAGAGATCGAAATCGTACCTGGTGGCAGAGAGAAATCTGTAACTGTAGAAAACAGACACGAGTATGTGAAGGCTTATGTGGATTACTACATGAACAAAGTAATAGAGGCACAATACGAGGGATTCGCTCATGTGAGTACAAATTTAGTTTGATATTTTGTCAACGTTTTATTTGAGAGATAAAAGGAGGGTTAGTACTACTTAAAAATACATTTAATATGGCGCGGCGGTATTTGATGAGCTAAAATCTTCTTCTCTCCAGGGATTTCTTTATGTAGCGGGAGGTAAAGTATTCCAAGCATTCCACTCAGAAGAACTGATGCACATGGTATCAGGAATGCAGGATTTCAACTTCAAAGATCTGGAGAGTATAACGGAGTATCAGAACGGATATCATCCGGAGCACCCTGTTATCAAGATATTCTGGCAGGTAGACGAGTACAATTCTAATAACAAGTTGTGAAATTTTGGCTACTTGGTGATTAGTGGACGAGATTGGTTTATTTATTTTCTCGAAAAAACGTGTATAACTTAAACCTTCAGCCTGGTTTGTTTCAGATGTTTCACGAGATGGATCTCGGAACCAAGAAGAAATTCCTGATATTCCTGACAGGAAGCGATAGAATACCAATCCACGGTATTCACAGTATAAAGATTATTATTCAGAAAGTTAAAGATAATACCAGGTAACCTCTGCTAACTATTACTTGCTTTTAATATGTAATAGTTATCTACAGATTGTTATGATGATTAACTGTAGAGCATGAACTAAAACTTAAATGACTACCTTTCCTGACTTCTCTCAATTGAGTACTGAGTACTGAGTCTGTTTTGAAAGGGTTAATGTAGTTACTAGTTATGTATTTATATTTTAATGTATCTTGACAATCTGTACAACGAAGAAACTGGTGCACATAGAGCCTCACAAAGCACAAATCATATCGTTAAAATCCTGACTCTGAAAATTTCCCCCTCTTCTTTTATGACACAGCACCCCTCTTAATTAAAGTTAAAATGTTTTCTTTAAAACTTGAAAATCAAAACATTAAACTATGCTTAAATTCTTGTTAGTAAAGAAGGTGCTCCTGAGCCAACTAACTGAACATAAAGTTTTTAAGGTCTCTCCTTTTTCACCGTACGATTCCCAATCATCATTACAGCACGTCAGTTGTCAATGACATCGTAAACATTCTCACTCTCAGAGAAGTTTCTCATCACACAGTATATCTCCTCTTCTTCAATGTTGGCTATAATCGTACCCTCCTCTTGAGTTTGGACTTCACTTGTTTCACCTTGACTGTTAACTGTATGTACGCTTCCTTTGTCTACATTGTATTTGACTCTTGTTGCAGAAAATTCTTCTTTTCTCTTTTTTCTCCTTTCATAAACCAGCAGAATGACAAGAGTAACAATGATGATGATCAATACTCCCGAAAACCATGCGAGTGGAGCGATGCCATTTTGGGGACTCAGCAGAAGATACTTACATGATCCAATTCCCAGACCATCCCAAATCCAACTTTGACCCTCAGGGCAGATACATATCATTTTCTTCGAACCTGGAATAGAATTAAGAGGACATTCTTGGCACTGCAAAGAACCTTCTTGACTGACAGAATGCACACAAGATTCACACCTAGTTTTGTTCCAGAATCTACCAGCTGTGCAAATACAGTGATCATACCCAATACCGGAACTTGTGCCTAATGGACAAGTTATGCAGGATGTACCCTCTTCGTTTTTGTAAGTCCCAGGCAGACACAGTTTACAAGACCCAATGTTCTTCTCATCCCAACTCCAGGCCATTCCTTCTGGACAGCGGCAAGATGATCCATTATTCATTGTGACATTTAATAGACAATCAATGCATTGAAGGGCTCCTTCCTGACTTACAGAAATTTCGGAACAATTTTCGCACCCTGTATTATTCCAAAACATATCTGATTCACAAGAGCAGTAAGAGGAACCGGGATCTGATGTATATGAACCGGGGCAATCAGTACAATATGTCTGAATTCCCTCTGAAGCTTTGTAAGTGTCTGCAGGACATTTCACACACGAGTTTGATCCTGATTCACGGTAATATCCCGGGGGGCATGCTAGTATACAGCTAAGAAAGACATCCTCAACATGGTTACAATTGTCTATAGTTAAGTAACTACACGAGGACCAAAATGGGGCTGTGCAAATGACATCATCAAGTGTTATAGAATACGAATTCTGTAGTACTGACCACTTGTCTCCAAAAGTCCAGTTGTTAGAGGTTCGATATCCCATTTCTTTACAGATAGCACTAGCTGAGTTTTTACTAAATCCATCGTCACAGACTGTACCACTATTATACAGTAGTAGACCTTCCTCCTCGTTTGGTTTACTTATCGTGTTCGTATTCCTATCAACCAGTCTAAAATTCCCAAAACTGCAATCTGTAAATTATTAATTTTCACATTCGACAGAATAATGGTACGAAAAGCTGTAAGAAACCAAGACTGTGCCTTTAAAAGTAATGTCCACAAAAGACGATTTGTTATTATAAGCCGATTGCCTACCTCCTATCGGTGCCCTGAAGACCAAAATTAGGACAACCTCAAGAAACATTAATTGAATACAAAAACAAAAGAAACGGTCAGAAATGCGAAAAATATTAACGGTTAAATCTAATTTCATAACTTATCTTATATCAGTATATCACGAGACTTAGATATTTGTACATATGGTATTGTAAAACTTAATTATCCATGGTGAACCGCTTCACTGCTTCAGTCCATAGCTCCGATTGTCCGCAGAGTGGTGCCAAATACCACTAGTAGCTCTGTTAGAACTTATTTGATCATCACGAATCCTCGAAATTAATGAGCTTAATAATTTACTAAATTATGAACACCCCTCTCAGTACAAAATATCACTGTCAGGAAAAGTAGTCTCACAAGAAACATTTTTTTTTTTAAACACAACATACACTGTCAGAGATGTGGGACATATTCACTGTAAATTCACGTAGATTGTGTTATTCATTCTTCTTATCATGACAATATTCGGAGGTGGTTTATTTCCATCGCTTCGTCACTTAGCATTAGACTATCATAAACTTCTAGATACAGCAGATTTATCATGTGAAAATGCTCCAATAGACTATAAACTATAAAGTAGCGAAAACAGAAAAGATGATATTATTAACCCCTCCCCACTAGTAGTGGAGTATTAAATTAGTTTAAAACAGTGACATAGTAAAGTTAGTTTTATTATTAGATTATTATATAATCTCCAATTTCTTCAGATTACCAGTGGCACACACGTGTTTCAACGTACTAGATCTTCCTCCATACCCCAATAAAGAAATAATGGAAGAAAAGCTCCTGACTGCTATCATGAACACTGAGGGCTTTGGACTTGTTTAACTTATAGTTTTATAGCAGTTTTGGGTCTTATACTTATATACAGTTAGATTAATTCATTTTATTGATTTCTTGGTTCACCACGTATTATGCGAGTTTTAAGTTATATAGCGCGACAGATACGTACTCAAGAAGTATATATCACTGTGGCAAAGTGTGGTATTGTCCACTGTGGCATATAAACTTTAGAACTGGACTTATCGCTCGCCAATGGTAATAATGGAAAATGGACCCACTTAGTGGATTTGTAATTTGATTGTTTTGATTTCAGACGAGGTTTTTATAGTTCTTTTTGATAATTCCTTGAATTTCAGCTAGCTGAATATCTTTGTTATATGTAAGACAAGTAGTCCTGAAATATTTTGAATAGAGATTAGGTTTTGATAATTGTTTGAATAACCTTTCTTAGGGGTTAATCCATAAATCCAGTATAATAATGAAAGTAAGTGGACCAGGACTAATTAGAGCTCAGCTTACTTAACCCTGCAGGAATTGTTTTATGTTAATCTGACTTAGTATTCCGTCTCGGAAATATTAGTTAATGATAGCGAAATTTTGGGAGACAAATGAGTCATTTAATTCAAGTTAATGGACTTTAAAGTATCTAATAGTAATGTTCAGCCTGATATCATGGCTATGGTCGGTTCTCATCCAGAATTACTGCAGAAGCTCAATGCCGGGAAACCGAGAGGAAATCGTGATGTATCTTCGTTAAAATATTAACTAATCATAACATTATTCAATATTTGGGGTGGTCAGTTTAAAAATTGTTTACTTTAATGGTTGGTCGTTTTTGATTGTGGGAAATCTTGATAAAAGGATGACTATTTTTACCAAGGTTATAAAATGTGATTTTATCTAATGTCATGAAATAGTGAGTTGTAATGTAGGTTTAATGTATAAATGGAAGTTAAATGATGTCTTTTATTTGTAACCTGGCTCAACTATCTCCGGTTCTATGTCGAAGAGCGCCGTAATATTTCACGCAATTAACATTGGTCATTGCGAATGACTTATACCTGGCACTATACCTTAACCAATAGTTTTGAAAAAGTTTTGACGCGCTAGAAAAATAATGACCGCCACCTATTACAGCCCCGACCATGATGACCAGTGACCAGTGACCACTATATTATAACTGTTTCAAGTTGTCACCATGAGGCAATGGTGCTGTAATGATTTAATTACGTACTGTTAAACTTAATTGGGCCTGTGCTACACTAGTTATCGTCACTTATTCTATGTTAGCGCCGTTTATATGTTACGTTTGTTAGGACCGGTATATTTGAGTTTAAATGTCAGAACGGTTTAGAAAGGTAGATGAAAGCGATAAGGCAACCATATATTCTCAAATACGTGAATTACAGACATTAAACAATCTTAATATAAATATAATATATCAACTGAGTGTTTAGATGCATCCAATACAAAGACAAATTTAAGCAAAAATACCATTTCTTAAATTACATATATTTAACGATGTGTGTTTTTTCAGGCGAAGAAGCGATTTTCCGTGATCGCCAACTCCTTCAGCCACGGAGGAGGAAAAGGAGAAGGTGGTGGAATTAAGCTTGTCACTGTTAAGCCTGTCACAGAGCGAAGGGAAAAACGATCTGGAGTGTTTGAAATGAAGAACCCCGCGTTTCTGGCGTACCTCAGAGGACAGACTTTGTGAGTTGAGCTTAACCATTATATTTACATCATGTTGTTACGTTAGATTTAAATAATTACTGACTTCTTTTTGTTTTTATAATCAAACTGTTTTACTTTATCGTCCTTATTCAATTCTGTATTTATAGTCATTTGTCTTCTAACTACACTCTCTACTCAATTATGGATCAATGGTGTCTGTTTCGTTGTCGTAGATATGCTGCAATTCCATTTCGTTCACATGTTTCTGTGCGCTGTGATGATCTTCCTCAAACTCATTATTGTTGTCTACATTGCCCTGTTGGGTTTGGCAAGCTTATTTTGACTTTTACTTTGATCACGCAAGACGGACTGCTAAAGTTGCGGGTTGCCTTAATAAATAATACTAACTTAGTAGCTAAGGCTTCAATGTTGCACTGACAGGTAGTTTCCCGGATCATGTGTCTTTTCAGCCGGCCCGTTTCTGTAATGTATGCCACGTGCGTTTCAGTTTATTCTGCCATGTCGAGATTATCTCCTGGATATTAAAGGCTACATATTTGTAATGCCGTGGAAATTGAATGAATTCAATACGAATACAATTATAAGTTATGTTATAGTGAATTATATAGAATTGTAACGAGTCGGTACCTTTCATCGTATCATCTACTTTTAATTATTCAACTTTCTATTATTATTATAATAGGTAACTTAAGCAATAAGCATTCTTATTCCTTATTAAGCTATATTCCGAAGTTCAATAAGATATAACAGTGAGGGATCATTTTAAGTTACGAATCTTTCAGTCGCGGTCAGCATATTGTAACTGTAAGTTTCAAAAGAGTAAGCGAGCGGCCTTCAGACCCAGACACTGAACAATGCTAGAAAACCCAGATTACCCACGTTAAGCATCAAATATGGCTTCAGAAAGTTGAAGTTTATAAATATAGTATAAGATTTCCGATCACCCTTGAAGCTTTCGTTTCACAACATTGTACGTTTTACTGACCGTACGTTTTATTGTGCAATATCTTGTAAATTTCGTGAGGTTATTAATCACATTAGTCGTCCAAACGGCAAAACAGCAGATTGCACCACTCTTACTGCAAAGCAATCAACTGATATGGCCAGAGTCCATTCTCTCCTCATCATAGGAATTGTGACCCTTTATACTTCAAGCATCATAGAGGCTTCTAGAGGCCAATGGCATAAAATAGCATAAATGTCAGTTATTGGACAAACATTTTAGCTATCTATGCCATAAAAATCTATGCCATTGTTGCTCTATAAGTATATATATGTTTTTCCTGATTTTTAAAGTAATTGTACTCGCCGATGTGTTTGATGATTCGTCATGAAAAACTTTTGACCTTAACATGGCATCATTGTCAATCTTATCTCATCATACACAGCTATACCAAATACACAAATCTGATAGAACGAATAATGACTGATGGTCCTTAAAGTGCAATACAGCAATACCCCGATTTACCTCGGAGTTCGGGAGAAAGGAAAAAGCTGCGCGGTAAATTTAAATCGGGGTTTGCGTTAACAGTTAAATCGGGGTTTTGATTGTTAACATTATGTATGTTAAGCCCTATTTGGGGAAAGGAAATGGCCGCGATAAATCGGAGTTTGCGGAAAATCGTAAATTAGGGTTTTACTGTATTAGGTCAATACACGCGATTCCGCACACACCGCACTTACATTTATAAAGGGCAGGTCTGATGGATAAAAAGGGGCAATATATCTACAGTAGAAGGGGTTCTAGACCAGATACAGAGCCCTGGAGAGGATTAATTGTTCTCGTCGTGCTTCTAGCAACACATCTCTCAACAGTGTTTGCTATATCTTATCCTAACCTTTGAGGATAGAGAGTGCTTTTGTAGTCGGCCACACAGTATATTATATTCCAGTCAACTGCATGTACGTGCCCTTCCTGTCCGATACGTCACAATGATTGGGCAGTAAACTTCAGCGTCGACCAGTAAAGTCCTCGGATTGCTGACACGTGTCAAATCAAATTTGCACCATGCCACCCCATCATTATTCACATTTAAAGTTTTGTATAAAACCTCTCAAAACGAGCAACTGCAGCGACCTCATCAGTACAATCACTGTGATTTGATCACAATGATAATATCAGTGTTGTACAGGGGTACGTTATAGACAATAGAGGGGGAATACTGTATATCATTGATATACAGTATTTCCCTCTATAACACGCCCCCATGCAACGCAAAATCTTTCATCCCAAAGACTGCATTACAGAATACAGAAGAGGAATACTGTAATGTATCGGGGAATATATCATGCAATGCACAACTGTTTTCTAAATGTCATGGTACATTTGAGTCGATACCGACTTGAATGAGCATTGTGCCTGTTACTGAGCGGCGCTCAGCCTGTCATTCCGCCAAGTCTCCATTTATGTTTATAAACATCATAGCCTGGGGTCCCCAGGTAAAGTGCCTGTTGCTTAAATTTGTTGTCTCTCTATGCTATGGATCTATTAATAATACATTGTGTGTTCACATATAATGAGTGCCAAAGTTGTAAACTGCAGTGCGAGCAATTTCAGTTTGATTATGACATTGTACAATCACTCACTGCTCACTTACTTTCGAAGTATCATTACTGATACAGAGCACTGTGCTATCGACTCGGCACTGCCCACTGCCAACTAATCGTTAATCCAACACAAGTAGCTCATAAAACAGTGCGTGTGATCATCTGTCGTATCAAATGAAATTATTTGTCACTATGTTAATAAATCATGATATGCAAGTTTAAATTTTTAAAGATTTGGTTTTTTTTAATGAATAAACGATAAAGGTTACATCATCATTTTCAATTCTCATATGATATTGTTATGTATCATATGATTTTGTAAACATTGGCCGGTGTACCAAAAACCGGTCCCCAAACAACAAACATTAACTTCTAGATTCAGAATTCTCGATTATTTCCAGATAATTTGGAATTTCGATTACATCCCTGGAGTTTTGTTCACATTTAGAGTTTTAGACGGAATGACTGTAATTCTTTAGAATTTATTAGTCTATTCAAGTGAGGCTGCCTTTAGAGTTTAGTGTTCACTCTTTCTTGGTTTAGAATTGCGAAAATTAATCACGCTAATTTTTATTTGCTCTGTATTTCAAACTATTTTTGAGGACCCAAGGCTCTAAAACTTTCTTTCAAACATAATTCGGGCTCAGTTTATACATTTCGCCATTGCGGTACTTTTTTTGTTGGTCATAATGTGGAAAATGAACTTCGTCACTTTTTGCCGAGTAGATGTCACCAGTCACCACCGTATACTGTTTCTTCTTTTCGTAAACCGTACGCTATATCACTTAAATAGTAAATAATATATCACTTAAAGTTCATGCCCTTTATTATATCCAACTGCTAGTCATTAGCAGATAATTTGACTTTAATGCAATGCAATTTACTGACTGAGGATATGATGTTGTTTTCATTCAATAATATCAAGGAATACTAACCAGTAATTACACATGGATGTCATAACTGGATCAACAATTCCGCACCTGGAATGTATGTTTGTTTACTGCTCAGTCTATCAGTCCGACTAGCAGGGGAAGTTCAAGTTTGCTTCAGATTAAATAATTATGTATGTGAGGGGGGGGGGTCCACGTTAAAAAAGTTAAATTCTAAGATCGAGATTTTGGAATTTAACATTAATTACTTTAACTTTTTTAACTTTTTTAACATAAATTAAAAATCAGATTTTGGCTGACTAATCGGTTCAAATTTTAACATAATTACCCAAATTAAACTCAATTATGAGTGTTGACCTTTAGTACTAGTAGTACCTCGCTCTTGCAATTGTTTTCTGTAGTTGTAATCGATTTGATAACTCTACAAAAAAAACACCTTGTATCTATATTATATACACATAATTGTATAATTTACTAATATAATCATTCATATTATACGAAAAAAGAATATGGCTTAGCGGTGTAAGTGCGGAAGGGTTATGGAAAGTCTCACATACGACAGATGTTTACGTTGCAATTTAGCGAAGGCATCAGGAGAGTCGCTCATTCGCTTGAAGGGTTCCTGTAGCTGTAATCCCTGTACCCGAACCATCTACTGAGGACACATCATCAGGTATTGATACTCCGGAGCTTCCTCCAGCTGTAATCCCTGTACCCGAACCATCTACTGAGGACGTATCAGTTGTTGTCAACACTTCAAAAAGGGCTGCTGATTCATCAAAACCTAGAACTCAATATGATTCTGAAGACGAATCATCTGCTGAT